GGGGTTCTGGGTGCAAATGGGACTCTGCAGGGGATCCAGATTAATGTGGTTGGGGCTCAGTGGGGGGGGGGGTCTGGGTGTGGGGAGATGGGACTCAGCAGGGTGGGAGGTCTGGGTGTGCAGGGCTCAGTGGGAGGGTCCAGATGCTGCGGGAGCTGGGCTTGATGGGGTGGGGGTCCAGGTGCAGCTGATTGGGGCTCAGTGGAGTGGGAGTCTGAGTGTTGAGCAGTCCAGGTGTAGGGTGGTAGGGCTTGTCAAGGTGAGGATTCAATGGGCCTGCTTTATGGGGGAGCCCCAGCTGCTGCCAAGGGGATGCTGCATGTCAGGATCCCACTTCCCCCATGATTCCCCATCCCCTTTTCTTCTCCATCTCACTCCTCTCACTCCCACATTCCCCTCTCCCTGCCCTATTCCACCCCCTTCCTTCCCCATTCCCTCATTTCCCCAGCTCCACCATGGGCATTCACTGTTGCACAGAAAACAGGAAGGCTCCCAGCACACAGAAGGGGAGCAAGACTAACACTAGGACCCAGGAGATGCCGTTCAGTTGCAGTGAGCAGAGCTGAGCGGCAGCCTCCTTCAGCTGGGCAGCTCTGCGCATGCAGAAACTGGCAGGGCGGGGGCGCAGCAGCATGTAACCCCATGTGTCCCCCCATACCTCGCCTCTGTTTGAGGGGGCAATCCCCACCCCCCAAAAATTGTGCCCATGGTTGTCTCCCCTGCACGGCTTCCCTTAGCTTCCCTGCCCTTTTATGCAGGGAAGCACAGGAATTCTGCGGAGGTGGAGGGGAGGGGTGTTTTCTGTGGGTGTGCAGTGATGCAGAAACCCCCCAGGAGTACCCTGTTTATAGATCCATATGATTATTCATTTAGTTATATCTAGAGCAGTGGAGGGCAACCTGCAGCGCATGGGCCGTACGCAGATATCTAGAGCAGTGGAGGGCAACCTGTGGCCCGGGGGCCGTACGCAGATATCTAGAGCAGTGGAGGGCAACCTGCAGCCCGTGGGCCGTATGAAGATATCTAGAGCAGTGGAGGGCAACCTACAGCCTGTGGGCCGTACGCAGATATCTAGAGCAGTGGAGGGCAACCTGCGGCCCATCAGAGTAATCCGCTGGTGGGCTGTCAGCAGATTACCCTGGTGGGCCACGTGGCACAGGTTGCCCACCACTGATCTAGAGAGACCCTACTGAGGTTGCAGTCACCCTGGATGCGGAGCAGTTCCAGTTCGGTATCCCTGTCTTTTACATTATGAGAATAAAACACAATGCTGAAAACTTCACATTCATAGTGAAGTTTCTGTTGTCTTCATAATTGCCCTCTAACCACTGGGCCAGATCTTCAGTTGGAGAGCCAGGCTAATTTATGCCAACTGAGGACCTGGTTTACTGGTTTTTGCACTTATAATTAACATATTGGGATATTAACAACTATTAAAATGTAGATTGAAGGGTGGTATGCTTGTACTCTGCAGTATGGGCTAAATTGTGCCTTAAAGGTACAGCCCTGTGACAGAGGTGTATGAGGAGAGGTGTATGTCACTGTGAGTTCCAGGAGGAATTCTGTCAGACTCAACAAGATAGAAATGTACATTGCAGCTGGAGTGTGCACTGTATGCTCCCCTCTGTGCTTAGTCAACTCTGCTGGGAGTCATGAAGGAAAAGGCAGATCACTGGTCCCTGTAACAGAATCTTTGGTGAGTCCTCCCTCCGAGGAGGCTGACCATGACCAGTTATCTACACTGTGTGGTCCCAGCACAGGCCCCACTTCCTTACTATTTGTATTGGTACCCTCTGCCCTTTGTGGGCCTTAAGTCTTTCCAGATGGGGGAGTCAAAATAAAAGTCACAAACTCCAGGGCATGTGAGGATACTCTCTCCCTTTGACCCCAGCAAAGTGGTGGTGGTGGGGAGTCTGGTGCCTGCGCCCCTGCCCCACCAGTTTCTGCAAGCGCAGAGCTGCCCACCACCACCACCACGAGTAAGCCTCTGAGTCAGGCTCAGCCTGTCCATCTTATCCTGGGAGTCCACTGTACTCTCCTCAGGGTTGGGGTGAGGGTCTCCTGACTAGGAGTTCCCTCTGCTCTTTCAGGAGTCACTCCTGCAGTCTGCTGCTTAGGGCAATACTGCTCCTCCCGCCCCTGCCGACTGCAGCTTCATCCCTTTTAAAAAACTGCTCCCTATCATATGTGATTGGCAGGGTAGGGGCTACCACCAGGGCTTCTCTGGCACTTTTCTCGTATGTGTGGAGTTTATACATCTGTCACAGTCCCCTTTGGGGAAACTGGCACTCTCAAAGGGGAGACTAGCTTATAGGCCCTTACAGTGCCTTTCCTTTGACTTCAGTGGACTTTGGATCAGGCAAATTTGGTGCAATTTCAGTGCCTTTGGCTACAGTGTGATCGGCTGCTGTGCAAATACACAGGCGAGAAGAAAATTCCTTGTGTCCTTTCTCAGCTTTGCACATCTACATAGTATTAGACAAAATCTGGTGCTAGATCTCTAGCAATCTGTCCACAAACCAACAGTAGGTCTAATAAGAGGCTCCAAGAACTTTCTATTGGTCTTTTCCGTCAGTTAATGAATAGCAGACTTTGAGTTGGTCTCAGGAGCCAAGTTGACATATCCAAGCTAAATGAGAACATTTAAAAGTACCAGCAAATCTAATGTAAAGGAAGAATCTCATAGCTCACCACAGCTAATATAAAGCAAGGAAGAGTCTAAGCTCTTTGCTTTTTGAATGAAACATATGGTAATACAGTCTGCTTGTCACTGAGCTTTCTGAGGGCTTGGCTACACTTGCGAGTTAGAGCACATTAAAGCAGCCCCGGGTGCCCTAGCTCACTACCCGACCACACTGGCAAGGCACGTAGAGCGCTCCTGGTACTCCCCCTCGGCAAGAAGATTAACACTTGTTACGCCTTGGCTGAAACTCCTGGGCGTCAGTGTGAATGAGGTGTTGCATTACTGCGCTCTGATCAGCCTCCGGAAACATCCCATAATCCACTTGAGTCAAGTGGCCACTCTTCTCATTGTTTTGAACTCGCTGTAGGAATGCGGATATGCCCTTGGAAAGCTCCATTTCCGACAGCCGGCATGCTTATCGGAAAGCTCCGAGACAAAACAACCATTACTGTGGAATGCTGTGTGTGTGAGAGAAAGGCGAGGGGGAGGGGGTCCTGCTGCTGTCTGAACTTACAAGACAGCATGCCAACATGCTCTCAACCCCCCAAAAAAACCCACTCTCTCTCTCCCCACATACTCCACCCCTCCCATTTGAAAACCACGTTGCATGCCGGGATAGCTATCACAATGCACTGCTCTCTGTGGCCATTGCAAGATCTGCTAATGTGGCCACACCAGAGCGCTTGTAGCTGTCAGTGTGGACAGACTGCAGCGCTTTCCCTGCTGCGCTCTACGAAGGCTGGTTTAACTCAAAGCGCTTTACATCTGCAAGTAGATGCCCTGAGTTATAGTTGTCTTGAGAGAAGGTGGATTTTCGCTTCCAGGTTTATTAAAAAATGTAATGATTTTTTTCACTGTAGAGAGGGATACTACGTAAATATGTTAGTAAGTGCTGCTTGGTTATCAAACACAGCACAATGTTGAGAAGAGAGGATATAATCACAGCATGTAGTAGAATACAAACATGGAATATACGCCCACCCTTTTTGCACTTTATTTAGCCTTCAGATATCATAGCATAGTTTATGCACATGTGCAAGATGTATTGTAAGATGTGACTTTCTCATTGTATGAAGCAGTGCCTGTATTCTATTAAGAAACCATTGAAAATTCTAGGCCACATCTTCAGCTGATGTATATTAGCATACCCCCACTGACATCAATAGAGCTACACCAATTTAGACCAGCTGAGAATCTGGCCCACTATATCTCAGTTTAACATTTTGATACAATGTAGGCATTGTTTAAGTTTTTGAAATCTGGTTTAACCAATCTATTGCATGTGTAATACTGTATTACCTATGCGGTACTTACAGCACACACCAACGGCTGCAGCTCCATTGACTTAACTAGACTTAACTAGAATGGTACTCATTTACACCAGTTGGGAATTTGGCCCACTATATTTATATTGGCACTCTCTGTTTTATAATGAATTTAGCAAGTGATCCTCAGTAAGGTCGAGGGTACAAGCAACATTCCTGTTATTATACCAAACAACTGGGACAGTTGCTAGTGCATAAATTAATCCACACTCAGTTCACTGAGAAGTGTTTGTTGTATCCCCAAGAGTCTGAAACCTGTAGCAGTTGCATGAATACCAAATGCATAATAAAGATGTAGTGACTGAAAAGACACTTCAAGACAGCCACGTATCAGATCTCTTCATATAGGAGGCTGTGGAAATTAAATTGTCTGTTAAGCTTCATTTTTAAGTATTCTCTCCCTTTTGATGATCACATTTTTGGAAAAAAGTGAACAAGGCTTGTCTCTAAAGTGTAGGGATTCCAAGTCAGGTGAAATGCAATTAGTAGTGATGCACTTACAGTTTAGAAGCAATGAAAAATGTATGAGAAACAATCTACAAAATAGCTAACACCCATGGCTTTTCCTGCTTAAAACTAAAATAAAAGCAATGTTTAGGAATTTATGCAGCATCCAGTGTAAATAACTAGGTGGCAAACAAGTATATTCTATACATACTGTCATTCAAGTATGTTGATCCCACATCTTGCCTGCCAGGGTATGCCAATGGTAGCATAAATATGTCATTGATAATTTGTCAGTTTGCCCTACTAATGACAGAAACGGTGACTATCAAAAATAATTAAGAGGATTTCTTAAATAATACAGTATTTGTCAATTAGGCACTTTTTGATGGATCTTGTTGATATTGAACAAATAAAAGCATTGTTGGCAAATATTCTCTGAAATGTTTTATTGGCAGCATCAATGAATAGAAATACAGTCTAAGCAGGTTAAATGAACTGCTCAGGAACACCCCCCCTCCCCCGCACTCTCCCCCGTTCAGCTCCCTTCATTATTAGAATGAGATTTTGCTTTCAAAAGGACTTAAGATGGTTTCTGTTTTTCATTTTTATTTTTTCTGAATGCCTAAAATTCTGGGATGGAAACCCCTCTAGTACTGTTTTTAATCTGAGGAAAAAACTACAAAGATGTTATGTGACTTTTGAAATAAACCTCCCCAGCCTTTCAGATTTACTTTCTTCTGTTAAGTGAAATGAAATATTGTAGAATGAGCAAAGAATGAAACAAATAAGACCAGATTCACCCCTGGTGTTACTTGATTGGTTTCAGTTTGGCCCACACTCTATTTCATGCTTCAAGATTGCAGAGTGAATCAAGGAAGGGAGGGTGGGTGGACAAGCCTGGAAGAAAAACAAAGAATGTTCAGTGCATACAATGGAATAAAAGTGCTCAAAGTCACCTTGTTGTAATGAAGAAAACATTTTATTTGATTTAGTCTTTGATCATTTTGGCAACTCTGTGAACCATCCAATCCAACATAGTTACATGTTATATAAGAGAACTATGGTATAACCTCTGCTGGAACCAGATTAGGAAACAAAGTTTAATACTTTTTTATTTATAGATATTATAATTTTAAGTAAAGGAAACCTAACTAAGCATAATAATTTACTGAACAGGGAAGAAAGCACCAAGACTGCAAATAAATATACTTAGCAAGATATTTGTATCTTGCACCAGAAATATCATGTTGAAGTATCACTCTACTGCCCCTAAGAAAATAATGTTTGCCTTTTTAAACTTTATTTAACTATTAGATTTTATTAGATGCAATATTACATTCTGACAGTTCTATGGTTAAACTATTGTTGTTATGCTACTTAAGGCTGTGGAGTGGTGCTAAATTCTCAAACAATAAAACTGTTTGGAAAACATGAGCTCAAGTCAAGTTAATTTTCTGCAGGTAGGATTTAAGCATTATTTTCTTTAAAAATGTAGTCGTTGCTTTCTCTAGGAAGGTCTGGGTGATTAGTGCATTATCTTTTCATCTCTTAGAAGAGGAGTTCAAAATATTGATCAGACTCCATCACAGGTTTGGCAGTTCAGATAAACATCCAAATGTTCACATGTGTATCCAAACTATCACCAAGACTTCAGAATGTTTTTTTCTCCCATTCAGTTTTTCTACTCCCTAACATATGCCCTTCCACCACTACTATCACCTCCTCTTATGGACCTAGTTATCGTCCTCTCCTTCAAACCTCCCTTAAGCTCATTCCTTATATCCCTGTCCTTCCTGGGAGTTACCCCCAGCCCTTACCTCTTAAGATGTCTACCTTTTAAGAACTACTGCAGGATCCACTGTTTAGAATCCTCTCTACTGTGGCTTCGGTGTTCACACTTTAAATCTCATAAACTCTCACATTTTCTGGGGCAGAAAACTCCACAGTACATTGAGCAAGTGAAATGACAGAAGGTTTAAAGTCAAGGCAACTGAGAGATATAAAATGGAAGCTCAGCAAAGAGGCTGAACATTGCTACTGATCTCAAAGGTATAGAGCAGTGTGGGAAAACAGTTGAGAAAGGGCATAAATGTGTCATGGTGGGAGGGAGGAGATTCTTGGTAACTAGCAGCGGATTAGACAGGTCTCAACAAGGAAAAGTGGCAGAAGAAACCTGGAGGCCAGGCTGGGGGAACCCAGAAATGTTAAGGAACAAAAGAGGTCAAGTTATGTATGTTGTTGTAGGAGTAGGGAATCTTCATCCATGCCTTTCCAAAACTTAAAAAGCTTTCTGACACCTAATTCAGATTGTGGCTCAGATCTCAAAGGCAAATGAGATGGGAATTTTTTTAAATTGATTTGCAGAATGCAGTAGAATAGAAAAAATACAATCGAAGGCTCCCTTAGTATGCCAGTCTCAGATACAGATAATCAATCAATTAGTTAAGGATTAGTACCTTCCACTCATACCTATAAATACAGCACAGTAGAGTTAATGATAGCTGTCTAGGTAGTGATATCCTCCTTGTGATGACTTGGCAATACTGGAGTTGTTAGTCAGGGTCTCCCAGTGTGGAGCCATATAGATATATCTACATTGCAATTAAAAGCCCATGGCTGGCCCTTCTCCCATCTTGCCAAGTCCTAGAGCCTGGACTTCAGCCTGAGCCTGAACATCTACACCGCAGTTAAAACAGCCCCTTAGCCTGAGCCAGCTGGCACAGGCCAGCCTCAAATGTCAATTGCAGTAGGGACATACTCCAATGTAGGTTCTTTGTTGTGTGAGACGAGCATATGTAAAGAAAAGGAATAGCTTGAATATGAAAAGTCTAAAGGGAAGAAATGGTATCCAGCAACAGCCTACACCTGGGGTGAAATCCTGTCCCAATTGATGCCAGTGGCCAAACTCCCATTTTTTTCAGCGAGTTCATAGATTTTCTCTACTATGCTTAAAAGCAAGGCAGAACTCCTTACTCTACCTGATTGTAAAATACATACTGGGGGAGAAATTGATTTTTCACAAGTACTGAAGCCAGTAAAGCCCTGATGTTTCTGTTAAGTAAAGCTTAACAGAAAATTACAACAAAAAATGTCAATTTGAAATTCCCACATTGGAGAGGAAGGGATTAGGCCCTTCCCAGGCATCTCTACCCTGCCACACCTGCAATGCGTGCACAGGGTTGAAAGAGCTTAAAAGGGGAACAGTGTAGCTCACGTGGAGGCAACCAGTGGAGGTGAGCCAGACCTACAATCTGAAGCTCTGCAAAAGTAGCCCTGTAGGAGGCATAGCTGCTGGGGCCCCTGACTACTGATGGTCTACATTTGCAAGGTTGGAGACGACATCATTGATGTATTTTATTTAAATGTCTTTGCTGTTCCTTCTAGCTTGGGAAGGTTGGTAGGAAGTGATCTGGGGAGGCAGCTGCATATCACTGCAGGACTCAGCCTCCTATCTCTGGGCCTTGGATTGGAAGCCAGTGGAGAGGATGGACAACTGCAGGTTATTAACAGAGAGTGGCAAGACAGAAGAGTACCTGTCACACCCCCATCTGACCACAAGGCAGAGCCTGTGGGGAGCAGACCCCTTCACACAATGTCTGGTGTGAAATTAACTTAAAGAATTGTACTATAAGGTGGGGGCACAACTGGCAGAAAATCCAAAGAGTAGTTATCAATGGTTCACTATCAAACCATGAGGATATATTTAGTGGGGTTCCACAGAGGTCTGTCCAGGGTCTAGCCAGTATTTTCATTAATGACTTCAGTAAGAGAGTGGAGAGTATGCTTCTAAAATTTGCAGATGACACCATGTTGGGAGGGGTTGCAAACACTTTGGGGGATAGGATTAGAATTCAAAGTGACATTGATAAATTGGAGAATTAGTCTGAAATCAACAGGATGAAATTCAATAAAGGCAAATGTAAGGTACTATCCCCAAAGGAAAAGAAATAATTGCACAAATTCAAAATGGGGAATAACTATCTGTGTATTAGTACTGATGAAAAGGATCTGGGAGTTATAGTGGATAAAAATTGAATATGAGCCAGCAATGTTATGCACTTGCAGAAAAGGCTAATATTCTGGAGTATATTAACAGGCGTATCATATGTAAAATATAGGAGGTAATTCCTCCACTGTATTTGGCACTGGTGAGGCTCAGCTGGTGTATTGTGTCCAGTTTTGGGCCCCAGACTTTAAAAAAGATGTGGACAAACTGGAGAAAGTGTCCAGAGGAGTGCAACAAAAATAATAAAAAAGTTCACAAAACCTGATCTCTGAGGAAGGGTTAAAACTGGGTATGTTTAGTCTTGTGAAAAGAAGACTGGGGCAGGGTGGGAATCTGATAGTGGTTTTCAAATATGTTAAGGGCGATTATAAAGAGGATGGTGAATCACTTGTTCTCTATGTCCATTGAAGGTAGGACAAGTAATATTGGGTTTGATCTGCAGCAAGGGAGATTTAGGTTAGATATTGGGGGGCAAAAATGTCTAGTTATGAAGATAGTTAAGCTCTGGGATAGGCTTCCAAGGGAGTTTGTGGAATCCCCATTCCCCCGCTTCCCCCCCCCAAGCCAGTTATTTAAACTCTAATGATCCCAATAAAATAGAAAAAAATCAGCAAATAAAACTGGAAGACATTTTACTTGGAATATTTATAATAAGCTGTATTTGGTTCCAATGAAACAGTCACTCAGCTTCCAAGAATCACTGGGAGGGAAGGATGAATTTTTCTATAGTGTTCTTCTGTGAACCAGGGCTGTTAAAAGGCATGGGAGTGGAAATGCACAGTGGGAAATGCAAGATGAAGAGCAAAAATGTCTACTCTAGAAAAGCATATGCAGTACATTAATCAAAGCTCACTGTGATTATCATAGTAACCTCTTTATAAGAAAGTAAAAAAGGTGAGTACAGTAGTTTGATTTTTAAACAACAATACTTGGAGAGGGCAAATGTCAGATGGTAGAGGGAAGATAATTTTTTTTAAAATATTTGAATAGAAAAATACCTTTCTGGGTTTTTTCTTTTTTTTTCAAAATATAAGTTTTTTAAATTTCTTATGAATTGTTTATTTCTTTGTTCATATGCACATTGAATTTATCTGTAGCATTGAGTGTTTAAAATATGTTGAATGATTTCTCTCATTAATATTTTCTGTCTCCATTTTAAAGTTTTCCTTTGAAATGCAGACAAAATGAAATGGCCTTGTGTAAAAACTTAAGGTATCTCATATTGCAGGAAACATCCTTGTAATTATTATTCTTGTTTTAGTAAACTTGTAAGAGTTTTCACTTTTTTTAGTGTGAGACATTCAACTTCACAGCAAAATCTTCATATGTCAGCTGAAATATTCAGTCCAGACAATACTTCATAGACCAGTGCATGATCTGACATGATAATTGGCCCTATACCATCTTGTGAGGCATATGAGAAAAAAATTTAAATCAAGCAACAATTCATTTTTGTATATGAGAGTGATATGTCAAGTAAAAAAATAGAAAAGTACATTATGGGTCTGATCTTTAGTCTGCCACCAAAAGTCATTTTGAAGATATGCAGTTGCAGTTCTAATGCAAAGTGTTAGTGGATGCTTGTCAGCTCTGTATTTGCACATTACTTAATGGTACTTTTGGAATGACCCCCTAGGCTGTGTCATTGCTGACAAAAGTAAAACTAAAACGTAAAATAAACGTAAAAGGAAATTAAATCCTTCTTTTGTAAAGCTCAAAAATGGGTCACAACTTGGCACTATTGTGGGAAATTTCCCAAGAGGCAAATGTCCTTCCCAATTGGCATGAAGAGTTTTGACTACTAGAAGCTGGAAGGATTTAAACACAAAAACTCACATAGCCAGTAAATATTATTCTCAGTAAAGATATTGGGATAAACATATGTACATAT